TCCTGTCACATTTTTTACTCACTTTGGGCTCATTTTTCACTGCAGCATAAAGTCCAGCACCTCTTTGGAAGCCGCAGTTTGGCTCCATTATGATGCTATTAATCAGAAACATAGAAGAAAAGTTGAATTTCAAGAAAAAAAAAATCTGTAATTTTGCCCGAAGGTGTAACCAACACTGGAAAAGTGAAAAGTAGCTCCTCGTCCTGTAAATATTTAACTATTTAAATGTGTGTAACTCAGGTTTTCCCACACATTTCCTTGTACATCAACTCTACAAAGACGTGTCACCGTGCTGGATGTATCCTCCAACAACTTGCTCCTCTGTTCGCTGTTTATGAGCCACGCTGCCTTTATTTTATGGAGTCAGTATGCTTTATATTCTGAATTTTTCTCATGTGACTGTTGGTCACAGCTCAGTCATTATTAGCTCCACAGCTGCAGTTCGAAATGCAGAATTTTTCATTTTTTACAAAATCTCTTTAATGCAAATGCTTTATTTTTTAGCAACTTTTAAAATGAGACACATAGAATTTGGTGATTTTGATGAACTGTCGTGGTTTTAAGCTCAGATTTGGTTGTTTTTCTCGAAGAATCGTGGCTAGAATTTATTTATTTTTTCACAATATGTCAAAAATGCTATAAAGCATAAAATAGAAAAAAAAAAAGTTGAATTTCTTTATTTTACCAAAAATGTGAGACCAACTGGACCTAGTATGTCGAATATTTTTCAAGTTTTTAGGTGTTTAGAAAGATGTGTCACCGTGCTGGATGTATCCTCCAACAACTAGCTGCTCTGTTCGCTGTTTATGAGCCACGCTGCCTTTATTTTATTCAGTCAATATGCTGAATGTTTGTCAAGTCATTATTAACTCCACAGTTGCCGTCAGAAATGCAGAATTTTCTCTGTTTACCATTTTTTCACGCTGCATTTATTTTATTACCAAGTATTTCCTTCTTATTTCTTTTTCAATCTCGTTTTTGTGGAAAGCTGCCTGCAGTTTAGCCGAGATGTCCCAGGACGTCTGTCACGTTGTTGTTCATCGTCTGACTAAATAGAACAGAGTTTTCTTTATTTTTGACATGATTCGGTGCATGGATTGGGTTTATTTGGGGGAATTCGAGAGATTTGGATGAAATATTACATCGTAAAGTTGGAAATCTCAGATCCTCTGTTTCTGTCTCGGATAAATGATGAAAACGTGCCTCTCCAACTTGCCGATGAGTTTTGGGGTTTAAACGTTATTAATAAATACTTCTGAGCAGTCATAATGTGACTATAAGCCCTCGGATGCTGTTTATCTCTTTGCATTAAGATTTATTGCTGGTGATAATTACAGTACTCATCGTTATGAGCTGTATGTTGAGGTCGGGCGTTTCTCCCTCCTCTGTGAGACGTAATAAACTCTGGATTTCATTTGTTTTTTTTAAGACCCTTATTGGTTTTTCTTGCTCCCTTACGTTGCGTCACATGATTCGATTATTCTGCTGTTTGTTCTGAACTTTGAAAATCCAGTTTTGCTCGCTGATGTTCATCGACGACCTGGAAAAACCTGCAGAATCATCTAAAGCTGGACTCATTTTTGTCCTTGAGGCGGTTTAAATTTCTAATTTCGTCCTCCAGCTGTTTCTATTTTAGTTGAGTCATTTGTTTTTTAAATCTTAAATGCTCCAATTATTCTTAATGTTTTTACTATTTTACTCATTTTGCCATTAAATATTTTCATCTTCATCCAAGTTTCTTATGAGTGCGCCTCCATCTTTTACACTCTCACTCTATATTCTGTAATATAAACAAGTCCCACCGTACCTCGCCGTGTTCCAACTTTAAATAAAAGTTGAATAACGGTTTTTCCCGACGGGCCAACAGTCCACGTTCTCCTAATTCGAACCCGACAGCTGGAGGCTTTTCAAGCACCGTAAAGTTGCTTAATTTGATTGAAAGGGATGGAAGGACTTCAACAGGAGCGAGTCCAGTTGGGATGTTTGCGCTGAAGACGGGGGGAAACAGTTGCATGAAATTTATCCCAAATCTGTTTTTAAATCGACATAATGCATTTTTATTATATGAATCTGACATGTTACGCTTTAATCTTGGTGGAAGATCAAAGTGTTGAATGTCATTTTTTCTGTAAAAGCAAAGATTTACATTTACAAAGAACCAGAACTGAGATGAAAAACCACATATTTGAGTTTTAAACATGACAAAAACTCACACTGAGTCACACAACATGTTCCATTTCTTCTCATGATCCATATGGTGTTTCCTTCAGTCGTTTTGGCTCTGAAACGCTCAGTATCCTGCTTCCTGCTCCGTCACACTGTATGGATCGCATACGTGACCCTCTGACAGTGTGTCAGTAGTAGCTCCTGCTCTCAGGTTTCACTCAGTGGGTTTTGGGCTTGGTGCCGACAGTCTGGGTGGTGGAGGTCATCCTGGCAGCCGCCTGCTGTCAGCTGACACCTCGGGAGGTCTGGGATCGCTTCAGACGACCACCAGGCTTTGGCTGATAAACATCAGAGCGGGGTCACTTCTGAGAGTTTTGCTTCGACCTCCGGCTGGACGAGGTTCCTTCAGTCTGAGAGTCTGCTGCTGTAGGATGAACATGTTGGTTTGAGCTGGAGGAGGAAGTGAACGCAGGAAGGTGGTCATAAATTAAAGATGTGGAGGGCGACGGTTCTGACATCTTACATGGGTGCTTCGTTGGTGTGAAAGACGTTTGGGTTTGTCCCTGTCAGTTGAGATTGAATTCAGATTCTGTGGTTTAGGATCCAAAATTAAGTTCTAAAAACTATCGGTTGAGTTCTGAGAGTTTCACCTGCCATGATTGGTTTTAAAGAACCCAATCAGTTCCTCTGTTCGGTGTTTATTTCAAATATATGTTCAGGGACATTCAAGAAAGCAAAATAAAAAGCCTCATATGTTGTTTAATCTTAACATGGAAGCGGCTTGTGACTTTACACATATAAAACCAACACACAGACCCCTATGAACACCAATTTTTATCTCCTACCAATGAGTCCACGTCAATATTCTCTCAAAATATCTGAAAACTGGAACCTTGTTTTGCCATACTTGCCGAATATCAGCTTCTACTCATGCCAGAGCCTCAAAAGTTGGTGAAACGTCGACCAAAGACTGTGTTTTTAGTAGGAAACATGGACTCATCCATATATATGCACTTAGAAGAACTTTCTGGGGCACCAACACCAGCCTCGTCTGAAAACTTTACACTTTTTTTCCAATTTCAAGGGCTAGTTATTATTCATTATTGTTATTTTGGACAATTTCACACATTCTGGACAGCTTTATCATATTTTGAACATGTTTTGAGCTCATTTTGGACAGATTTCACATCAAAATAGTAAAAACTGGAACCTTGTCTTGTGGTTCTTGCCAGACATCAGATTCTACTGATGTTCTGAGTCCACGTCAACATTCTGTCAAAATATCTAAAAACTGGAACCTTGTCTTGCCACACTCACCACAAATCAAACTCTACTGACGTTAGAGCCTCAGAAGTTGGTGAAATATTGACCAAAGACTGGATTTTAGTAGAAATATGGATCCATCCATTTATAAACATTAAATGAACTTTCTGAGGCTCCAATAAAAACCTTGTTTAGAAAATTATGCTCCTTTTTTCCCCCATTTTAAAGGTTCAATAAATAAAAATTTGGCCCCCATTGGATCCATTTAATCATTAGATGTGCTGGACACAATTCTGTCTGTGTTCCCACCAAATTTCATGGCTGCGTGAGTTTTATTTCTGGAGATATTGAACCCTTAAAATGGCTTGAAAATGAAAATCCATGTCTGAAAACTTGAGAAATTCTCAAAATTCTGCCAAAATATTTGACAGAACTTAGTTTTGGGTCTTAAATAACAAATCAGTAAACTCTGAGACAGTGCAGGATGATTTCAGACCTGGGCTTTCTGTATTTTTACCCTCAAAAAGAACCCGTGGAACCATTTTAAGGGTTCAATATCTCCAGAAATAAAACTCCCAGAGTCATTAAATTTGGTGAGGACACGGAGAGAATAGTGTCCAGCAGATCTAAACGGTCAATTAACTCCAGTAGAGGCCAAATTTTAAATTGTTGGCCCTTAAAAATGGAATAAAATGCAACATTTCCAAACCAGGGTGGTATTGTGGGCCTAGAAAGTTCCTGTAAGTGTGTATATATATATACATATATATATGGATGGATGGATCCATGTTTCCTGCTAAAATACAGTCTTTGGTTGACATTTTACCAACTTCTGAGGCTCTAACAGCGGTTTTACAGCAGTTTTTACTATTTTGATGTGAAAACTGTCCAAAAATGACTTAAAATGTGTTCAAAATGCGATAAATCTTGTCCAAAATGTGTCAAAATTGTCCAAAATGACAATAATGAGTAACTATTGGTCCTTGAAAATGGAAAAAAGAAAAGTGTAAAATGTTCAAACATGGCTGGTGTTGGGGAAAGTTCCTGTAAGTGTATATATATATGGATGGATCCATATTTCTACTAAAAAATACAGTCTTTGGTCGACATTTTACCAACTTTTGAGGCTCTAACTTCAGTAGAATCTGATGTGTGGCAAGACAAGGTTCCAGATTTTAGTTGTTTTGACAAAATGCTGATGTGAACTCATTGGTAGGAAACAAAAACTGGTGTTCATAGGGGTCTGTATGTTGGTTTTGTTTGTGTAAAACTGCTTCCATGTTGGCTTCATGTTGGGATTTAACACGAGTTTGATTTAACAATGTTCCCGACTCATGTTTGTTGAAACTCATCGTGGCAAAAACATCTGAGACAGGAGATCAATGCTGCGCCTAAAGCAACAACAAATGTAAATTTCATCGTCTAGCTTGTGTTGTCTTCACCTAGTCGGAGCTCTGATGGCACCAACAGACATGATCAGGCTATTTCAACAGCACCATCTAAAAATGAAGGACCGACTCCTACAGGTTGGTGTGGGCTCCTAACCAAACGTCTTCTTTCCGATCTTTCAGCTCCACGGCTACATGGAGAGCGAACCTCTGACCCTGCAGCTCTTCATCGGGACGGCCGACGACCGGCTGCTGAGGCCTCACGCCTTCTACCAGGTCCACCGCATCACCGGCAAGACGGTGTCGACGCCGAGCCACGAGGCGCTGCACAACAACACCAAGGTGCTGGAGATCCCGCTGCTGCCCGAGAACAACATGAGGGCCATGTGAGTAGAACCGGAACCAGAACATGCGCTCCACCTAAAGGTCTTGGACTTTGGATTTGTCCAGAATGACATTTAGAGTCATTTTGGACACATCTAAGTCAGATGTCATGTAAGTTGAGACAGTGAAGGTCACATGTTGAAGAGTTGATGCCCAAGAAGTGTCACTTTTGAGGCGACATGTCCAAGTCCAAGTTAAATCTCAAGTCATTTTTTGGTTCTCCATAAGCAGTCGTGGAAACTAACCAAGTACATTTACTCAGATTCTACTTGTGTATTTCCACTCTGTGTGTATTTTTATTACTTTTCTACATTTCAAAGGGAAATATTTCCCCTTCTCAGCTTTCATTACTTTTAAAATGCAGATTCTGCACACTAGATAATATAACAAGCTTTTAAAATGCAGATTCTGCACACTAGATAATATAACAAGCTTTTAAAATGCACCACATGGTGAAGAATAAACCTGTTAGTTCCATCTTTTTGGGGCAGAAACATCAGCGTGTAGTCATTTCAGTTGTTAACAGCTGCAGTAAACACTGATTTTTCCATCTAAGCCTCTCAGTAATTTGAATAAATGTTCCAATGATCCAATATTTTCACAAAAATAAAAGATTAGAGAAAACTGGGAGCACGTTTGCGGATTAGAATTAGTTTTTTTTTCTCTCTTATTAATCATGTTTGAAGCCCTCAGACTATATATATTATATTTATATTGGTAATTAGTTAATATATTACATATAAAAGTGAGTATAACGTAGTTGAAACAAATCTTATTGCTGCTGTGTACCAGACTTTAGCTTGTAATGGAGTATTTCTACTCAAGTAAAAGATCTGGATGCTTCTTCCGCTGCTATCTGAGGACAAATTGCAAATCAAGATGCTGAAGATTCCCGTCAAACCCATAAATAAATCCTCTGAGTTGGTCTGAGTTAAACGTTTTAGGATTCAGATTTCCAGTCAAGTCCACATCTTTGTGACACAAGCCTCATAAAAAACAGATTATAAACACAGAAGTTTACACCAGAAGTCTTAAAAATAGCTCCAGCTGCTCCACTGTTTTTTATTTGATAATATCTGGGCTCAGATTTAAGGAATTTACTTCATCTTTAGATCCTCTGCTAAGGATTTCGTTCCTCTGTTGAAGCTCGTCAGATCGCTGCTTCCCTAAAACCGAGCTAACGACGGTGTGATTTATCTGCGTGTCTGCGAGCCTTCGTGCCTCCTCCAGGGTTTGCATTTTTAGAGCGGGTGTCTTTCCCATTTTACGAGGCTCAGAGCTCAGGTTTCGGGGGGAAGCTCGAGCTGCTGGCGGCGTCCTGGGGTTTGTGTCTGAGCTGCAGCGTCCTGCAGCGTCAGCACTTTCTCCTCCGCCTCTTTTAAAGGATGCAGCACGTAAGCTTCGCCTCAGGTCCGGCTTCTCTCTCCTCTCACGGAGCCTCCGGGTCCTGACGGCAAGATTTATTCCCCCCTGACATGTGTGACACAAAGAGGTTTAATAACGTGGCGGAGGACAGCTGCATTGTTCTGAAATATTTAATCATGTTGATTAAACTGTTGAGCAACTCCAGCCGACAGCGAAGCCACAACACTCGACTTGTTCTGACTCCAATTAACTCCTCGTAAATCACGTGAACTCTCTTCTGCTGGGATCAGTCTGTCCACCAGCACTTTGTTTTGTGGTTCAACGTGTCAAACCTGCTCAGTCAGTTGTGAAATTACAATTATTTTCATGTTTGTTTCGTAATAAAAGTATTTTATGTGTCTAGTTCTGCCACTAGTTGACTTCTGTATTGTGGTTTTTTCTGTTAATCTGAGCTCAAAGGTGGAACTTTTAGTATTTGTGATGAGAAACAACAGAGAAAATTTTGGGTTTTTATCTTTAATAGTTCCTGAGATGTTGTCGTTCAATCAGCCTCGAACTTCAGTGTGAGAACAAACCTGCTGAAAGAAGGTCGACGCGCGACTTTTATGTTAAAATATCTCCGAAAGTATTTGATGTATTGAGCTGAAACTTCATGGATGCCATTTTAAATACTGATATTTTACAAAGAACAAGTTTGGAGCAAATCAGAGACGGTCGAGCAGAAATTTTATTAAAAATTCGATGATTTGAGATGGATTTAAAACCCTAAATTCTAACTTTCTTTTTCATTTTTGTGACCAAGTACTTTATTGACATGTAAAGCTAAAATTTCACAAATATCCTAATAAATATCCATATTTTATTAATAAACAAAGCACTTCAAGCGAACCAGAGATGGCGGAGCAGAAGGAACCTGAAGATTTCAAACGGAAGAAACCTTCAGTTTCAATCTGAAATCTATCATTTGTCTCATGATATTGTACTACGCTAAGGTTTTACTGTATCCCATCCTACATTTAGACCACATTAAGTATCAGAAATACTGATATTTATTAAGCTGTCAGCCCAATAAAGTTTTATCAGTGTGTGCAGATACTCTCAAACTCAAAATGTTCATATTTTACGCCATCAAATCTGCAGAAAAATCCAAGATGGTGGAGCAGAAATTCCCTAAATGACAACAATAGACCACCTTCATCTCTCTAAAACCTTCCCCCAGGCGCCCATCGCACACCTCGGTCCAGGACTGCTCTGCGTCGGCGCCGAGCCGAGCAGCTGGGGTCCTTCAGCTCCAACACCTGATTGCTTGAGCAGCGCAGCAGACTGTTGGTGTCTGCACACAGGAATGTCAGGGAGTGTTCAGAAAGTGTGCAGGAGTTGACGTTAAGTAGGCTTCGAGGAATGCAGCAGGATGGAAAGAGCGAGGAAGCATTCAGAGGTATTAAAGTATAAAACACAGCATTTATTAAGTGTCTGATGAGGCTCTTCAAAGTGCAGCTCATGGCCAAGTCCTGCTGGTGAGATCTGTGCAGGATGACAGGAGAGCCAGTGATGATGTAGTGAAGGTTCCCAGGCCCTGGGCCGCCTGCAGCCAGCAGCAGATGCATCGAGGTGTAAAAGCTCTCCTGGAGGTGCTGGTGTTAATCTTGTGTTGACACGGCTGCAGCCTCCTGCAGGACCTCTTGTTCCTCCCCGAGGTTCTGAACGAGCACAACGATGATGAATGATGACTGCACTGATGGAGTCCAGAGTGAAAATCTCTTTGTGTTTTGGCTGCAGCTCCGCGTAAATCACAGCGAGATTGTGTTTGTCATAAATGCACATGACAGACTCTGGCAGGCTCCCGTTTTAAAATCTCGTGTCTTTGCAAACGCAGAATCGACTGCGCGGGAATCCTGAAGCTGCGTAACTCGGACATCGAGCTGAGGAAAGGGGAAACCGACATCGGACGCAAGAACACGCGCGTCAGGATGGTGTTCAGGGTCCACATCAACCAGGCGACGGGCCGGACGGTGTCGCTGCAGGTCGCCTCCAACCCCATCGAGTGCTGTAAGTCCATCACCTCCTCAATAGAACATAAACGGTCGAGTCAGGACCACCTTTAACCCTCTGAGCTCCAAGCAGCAGCTTCTGGGTGTTTCTTTACTCACTGTTCAAGTCCTGCAGCTCTCAACAACATGAAGAAGCAGAGAGATGTGTTCTGTGCAGCATCTCAGTTCGAATGCCATAAATCATGAAAAAAGAAAAGCAGAATTTCTTTATTTTTTTATTTTCCAAAAATACTAAAAATGTGGACTCAGCACGTACGATATTTCTCCAGGTGCCCACAGGTTCTACCAACACAGAAAAAAATGGAGGCTTGACATTCATTAGATATTTAGATGTTTAATCTGATTCCATGTTTGTCTGCTCTGTGTAAACACTGCCTGCAGTTCAGCTGGAAAGTCTTTTAATTTTCCTGAAGTGATCGTTGGTTGCAGCTGAGTAAGCCGC